AAAGAAGTGGTGTAAAGAAGTGGTGTAAAGAAGTGGTGTAAAGAAGTGGTGTAAAGAAGTGGTGTAAAGAAGTGGTGTAAAGAAGTGGTGTAAAGAAGTGGTGTAAAGAAGTGGTGTAAAGAAGTGGTGTAAAGAAGTGGTGTAAAGAAGTGGTGTAAAGAAGTGGTGTAAAGAAGTGGTGTAAAGAAGTGGTGTAATATTGCGTATCAACCAAAAAATTACTTTAAAGGCTCTAATTTTCTCCTCTTAGCATTCTGTTTACTCTAATGCTTCTTGCAACATCCATAATTTATTTGAATTAACCCATTTCTTATTAATGAAAACATATGTTGTAGACCAGAGAATAGGAAATGTTTGTAACCTTGACCCTTAAAATAAGCCATAAGGAGAGCTTTAGTTTAAGACCCTTTGGGAGTTTCATTAATTTTAAGACTTCTTATACCATAGCCTGAGTGCAAATGAGAGGTAGTTCTGGCTTAGTATTAAGTTATTTCATGTAATATTTTGACATGCCTGTGTTTCTCAGAATAAAATGCTTTATGACACGCTGATATTGCTTGTATTTGCCTTTACATCAAGTTTCAACTGACTGTAATCACAGAAGTTACTTACCAGAAGCTGAAGGACTGTTCCCTGCTTAGCTACAGACACCTTAGAGTTAAGCAAAAGTTGAGGACTCAATATTTCCTTAGGTATTTTGTTGGGTATTGATGGCTAAAGTAAGCTAAATATTGGAATTGGGACTGTCTGATCTTTTTTGCATCACTGAATGGGGAGTATTTCTGGTGATGGAAAAGGCTGAATGTTCTAAATATTTTTTAGTTTGAACTTGAGGTAATGGGTGAAATTAATATACTGGGAAGACGGGCTCTTTCTGGGAGCTCACCCTCAGCTAGTAACAGTAACTGGACGAATAAATGTACGAGGGAGTTTTAGTGCAGCAGACGTGATTTCATGTGTCACCTCTGGTTTTATGGGTTAGAACTGGATGCTGTAAAAGTAATGGCTTTCATTATCAATGTTATTGTATGAATACAAATGGACAAAAGATTGCCTTGCAAAAGAACTTGTCTTCTGAAATCTGGAAACAAATCAGACTTGCCTTTCTTTTAGTCTAACTATTTGAAGTCATTGTATATATAGAATGTGAAGTGTTTGTATCATGTCTGTGTATGCATATAGTCATTGTTCTGTTTTAAAAGAAATCCTAAGTAACAAAAGAAAAATAACACTGCATGAAAGCCCTGCCTGAGATTTTCTGCTCCTGCTCAGCTATTTGAGATGCTGGGTACAATCCTTAAACTCAACAAAGCAAAAGGATTTTGGAGCTAGAAGACTGGCAGTATTGCTGCTTACTACTAGCAGCTCCTCTACCATGCAGTAATAGTTTATTTAATGTATTTCATGCATTTTATTGATAGATCTTTTCTTCAGTTATTCCCCACATACAGGAAATGGCCAATTTTCACATTTTATTTTGGTGCTGACTCCACCTGTTAATTAAAACCAGGTTACCTTGCAGTTAAAAAAAAAAAAAAAATCAAGCCAACCACCATCAAAAAAACCCCAAACCTGAAGGCAGCAGATAAAAGGGGACAATGTTGAGAAGAAAAAGATAATGTATTTTCTGACAAACAGAGAAAGTTTGTTTCCACTAAACCTGTGTACCAGTTTAAGTTTCTGTAAAAAGTTACAAACTTGCATTTCATTACTAGGAAAGGGGAGTGTGGATTTGATGGATTTTTGGTTAGTCGTGCATTTTGGCACAGATTTTTGCTCTTGTTCTGTTTTTTCTCATGGAGATTATTAGGAGAGGTCATTTTTCTGTTAACAGAATTACATTATTATTTTAATCAGAATTAAAGCCTCTCCTTCAAAACTTGCCAGGGTCTTGCCTGTGTTGTGTGTGTATTCTTGTTTTGTTTTCTTTGTTAAGCAGTTGAGGCTTAACTGAATTTATTCAGACACAGCTCTCCTGTAATTGTTGCCAGCTTTTATTGTGTTTGGGTGGAGATCAAGGTGATCTGCAAATTATTTGTGTTAATGAGAGTCCTGGTTAACAGCAGCCAAATGCTGTACACAATACACAGAAGAAATACAACGTGGCTTATCCAGTATGTCATTAGACATTTATTTGTACCACATACATACTGGACCACAAATTATGACGCAATATTTCAGAATTCTGTTGCTAATTTAGGTCAAATTTATTATATAAACTATGTTACTTACTAGGTCCTGTATTGCTGTTGACACCACATTACTAAGGCAACTTAATAATTTGCTGTTGTGCAAGTAGGTAGTACAACTTCATTACAGTTAGCATGTCTCGAGTGCTTGAGTTCAGCAGTCTCAACACTTTCTTCAAGTACCCTCGTCTCCAGTGAAAAAGTGGCTAAAAAGGGGAGATGGGAGATGTTCTCAGGTTCCACAGAGCTGTGCAGGTTAAGACTTTTGAAAGTTAATTGATTTGCAGTCTGAGTAAAAGTTAGTTCTGAACATGAGATCCTGGATTCATGAAGGCAAAGAGCATTTAACTGCCCTGGTGGATTTTGCTGCTCTGTGACAGCTTTGAACTGCTTCGCTAGTAAGCTTGTTGGGAAATGCTGTCACTCCATGACCATTTTTGACAGCCTTTTATGCTCTCTGAAGTTGGAAAATTTATCAATAGGTTGCAAAAAATGAATAGTTTTTCAGGGGAAAAAACCCCACCTTGGTCAATGTGCTTTTCAATTGCAGCTCTGGGAGACACAGTGTAGCACCAGTACTTACCATACTATCGTTAAAGGACTGTCAGGACTTTTATTACACAAACCATTTTGTAAAAATATTTTACATTTCTCTGTAAGTGCTTTTTGTGGATGACACTGAGCTAGTGCAGCCTGAGGAAAGTATTTGCAGCTATCTAGAAAAAAAAACCAACAACCAAACCACTGGCGGAGAATTTTTAACTTGCTGAATCTGAATATATTTCAGAGTATCTATTGCTGTTCTGTAACTCTACACTTCCTTTTTAATGCATTTTATACGTTGCTCATGGTGTATAATATTGAACGTAACCCTTATTTTTGCTCTGCTCCTTGAAGATGGAGTTGCTCTGATTTTTGATACATGCACACAACACAGCTTTACTTCTGTGCACTGCCTTGGATGCAGTCTCATGTCAAACACTTACAGTGTTTGTAGCCACCTCATATTTGCTGGCAATACGTAAAATTTTCATTTATTTTCTGTACTGGTTATTTATAGACCTCTGGTTCCCAAAATGTCTCCAGCTGTGAGCTCCCCTTCTGTCAGGACTGTGGCCTCAGTAAAGGTGTGAAGAGCTGGGTATCTTCTGGGGTGGTGGCTCCAGTTGTAATGCTGCAGCTGTCTGATTGCGGCTCATGCAGAATCCCAAGTGCTTGAAGCTTTTTTGACTGTACAAACACACTAATAATATCCAGAAGCCCAACTTGGGTGAAACCTCGTTAATAACAAGTGAGGCCTGAGTAGGACATCTTCCTAGGTCCAGTAACTCATCCCTGACAAACAGCATCCCACTGGTTTTTCAGAGCTGTGTTGTGGAGGTGGATGATTTCCTGTCTGCCACCTCCTTCCTCCTTCTCTCTAGCTTGTTCATCTCCAAGCTGGGCTTCTGGCTGAGTCTTCCACAGCAGAAGGTTCAGCTTAATTTCTCTGGCAAATCTCTTAAGTCCTAAATCAGCATTTAGGGACTGTTTGACTGTAGTGCTTCCTGATCCCAGTGAGTCATGTTGGCAACTCCTGTTTCTAACACATTCATCTGCAAATATTTATGGATTGCTCTGTTTTCCTCTCTGTCATGACATAATAATGAGCAACTGTTACTGATTTATGTACGTGTTTGCGTAATGAATAAATTCTGCCTTTGTATGTCATTTTTTAAAAAGATGTGTTTAGGAATACCAAGAGGTGGTGCACTTCATCTTCAGCTGTCTCTTTACAAGGCATTTTGAGAGTAACTGGATGTTAGGCACCAAAATCCACTTGGCTGGGAGGGGTGTTCCCTGAGGACATCCAGTGGCAGAGCTCTGCTGGACAGAAATCCAGTACCGTAGCTGGTAGGAACTGAGACTAATGCTGTAGTTAATCAGGTATCAGGACAGTGGGTTTGGGAAAGTTCTCAAGAGAGGATTTGATCTTAAAGAGGAAAAGAGTATTTTTCCTCAACCCTGAATCTGGTTTGGAAGCAAGCTAAGCCTGAGGATGGCATCTATCAAAAACATGGAATTTGGACTACAGGGGCAGTTTGGAGACTTAGCGTGACTTGGCACTTGCTGACCAGAAAGAAAACAAAAGGAAAACTTTGAAGCCAAATAATTTGTGCCTAACTTTAATGTATTGTAGTGATTTGCTTCCCATATCTAACTCTATGGTCATAGATCAATGAGCAACTTTAAATAACAATGTTTGGAGTAAGTGAAGGAAAGAGGAAGGAGGAAAAAAAACCTATATGTGCACACACACTCCCCACACACCAAAACTCTATCAAGCAAGTGGTGCAAATCCCTCACCAGGTCCTCCATGATAATCTGGAACCATAGCTGTCTACACTAGCTTTGCCAAAACTGTTACAGATGGGATTTTATAAGGCAGCAGTGAGAAGTATTCTTTTTGGAGAAGTGAAACATTTCCTTATACTTGTATATTATGCACCTTAGTTCTTCCCTCATAGGATGTTTGCTCCTTTATGCTTTTGTATGAGCTTTGTCTGAACTATGTTTAAAATCATGCTGATATACAGAGTGGTAAGCTTTGGATGCTCTTGAACAGCTATGGAAACAGGAACTTTGCTTAGTTCTGAAATAACTTTTCAGGTACTTTAAATCTGAAATAAAAACTTGAAGGCTACTCTAACTTTATGTCGTATGAGATGTACAAATGATCAGAAGGAAGATACCTCTGGCAGTATTTTGGGGTTATTTTTGTTATGCTCAGGCTTTTTGCATAATATCAGGTGATTAGATGGAGCAAGTGGGATGACGTATGAAATCTTGATTTTGATAGATTTCCAGAAGAAGCAGCCAGATGATGACTCTACTCCCAGCACAAGCAACAGCCAGTCAGATATGTTCTCTGGAGAAACAAACAGCGACAACAGCAATACCTCTCTAACCACGCAGGCCGCTAACTCCAACCAGCAACATTTGACAGAACTGAATGTAACTTCACCCAGCAAAGAGGAATGTAAGTGCACAAGTCCTAAGTGACAGCAAAGGGGGTGTAAACATTTTAGGTTGTTCTCAGGCTTGTGTTTTACTGACTCCCTTTAGAAGTAACTGGCCTGTCTTTTGCAGAAAAGGGAAAGGTTGGTACTTATTCACAAAATAGACATTGATGGCTCTAACCGAAGAACAAATTAAAAGGGGTTGCAGAGGTTTCTAACTAACTTCACAGCTGTTTGAACTGCAGCATACAATTTAATTGCAATTTTGAGGCACTCTGATTTTCAGAAACTTTTTCTTGGATTACTGGTAAATTAATAGATATATTCCAGGCTAAACACTAATGTCTTGTAAATTTTTACTTAAAAACCTTTTGGTTTTAAGTAATTGCAATTGCACATAGCACTGATTGTAATGCATGTTTGCCTATACTGCTGCTAGGTTACTTGCCTAAAACTTAAGTTTGATGTGGTAATCCATCTCTTCTTTCATGACCCATCTTTCTTCTTTATTGAACTCAGGCAAAAATTCTTCCTGAAGGTAAGCTAATATGTTAAAGATTAGCCAACACAGTGGCATAAAGTCATCTTTTCAGTTATTCTAAACCTCTCTATATGTTCTGTGTCTAATATATGGAGTTTTAAAATCTGCATTCTGCAATTTAAGCTTAACAGTGTAATTTGTAGTTTCCTTTTCCTCCAACTGTAGCTTTATTTTGGAAGATACTTTATGGAGAGAATCCTTTTTGAGCTGAGTTTGCTTATGCCTCTTAGCTGGTAAATAGACATACACATTGCAAGAAAAACTTGCTCATTTTTAGCAGGGAAACTTGTAGAGCTGCTCTGGTTCTTGAACATTGAGGTAACTGCTGGAAATAACAATGCTGACAAAGCGCTAGGACTAAAAAATTTGTTATATGCTATGCTTGTTTTCAGTTGTGTTAATTATTTGCATAGAATGGTATTGCTGAGTTGCTGAAGTATTTATTCTGTTTACAGGTATGTAGATTTTGCATTTATATTCTTTTTACTTATGCAGATTGGCTGTGGACAAAGCACAAAGTGTCATTTTGGGATTGTGGTAGTTTATTAGACTAACTAAAATAAAGTTTTAAAATTTATTGTTTTCTATCTGTATTTGAGAATATTGTCAGAAATACAGCAGGGTTCAAATGTGAATATTCTGATACCAGTTCTTGTAATAAGAGTAAACTTGCCATGTAACTCTTGTCTCTCCTTCGCATACACAGTTGCTGCTGACCACCCATCATCTCTTCCTTCTGTCCAGCGCTTCTTCAGGGGAAACCTGTAGTCTGCTCTAAAAACAAGGACTTAAAACAACCTTCCTAGAGAATTCAGCAAAATATTATGCTTCAGCAACACATTTAGGCCTTCACAGGGCGGGGGAGTTTCAGCACCTCTGCTGGCTTATTAGCCAGGGTCTACTGTTTGGTGTTACAGGGTGCTTCTCCAGTGCTCACTGGGTCAGATTTTCTGAAAATTTGTTCAGTTAGGAATTAAATTGTGTTACAACAAAGTGTTCCTCTTATGCCTGAGAAAGACTTGGGGGTAAGTGAGAAAGTGATTACAGGGATGGAAAGGTGGGAAGGAAATTAAATAGTGTCCTTCATCATGAATTGCTTTAAGCTTCTGAACATATGCTGAAGGTGATGGATATTAGGCAGCACAGCCTGCAGAGCATTTGCAAATATTACCTGTAAAAAAAAAAATATTTTTTTTTTTTAATGACTTCCTGCTGGGATGATTTTAAGTGAAATACTTGGAGAGATTTATTTACAGCTTGAGCTCTCTCTGCCTCCTCTCACATTCTCACTATCTCTTTAATGAAGCTTAATATCATTTATCAGAAATAATTACACACAGATGGAGCTTTTCTGATGGATAATGGCCTGAGTGTGGAAGTTTCTTTCCTGTAATGAAGAATTCCTCAAACTTTAAATGTCTTTTTGATGAAGGTGTCTTTTTCTCTGCAGTATTTATTTATTTTGCAGCAAGTTCTGTAAAGCATGCACTACTCTCATTACAGCTGTGTTCTTCAAGACTGATATTTTGCAGTGCCATGTGATGATGTACAGCTATGTGCTGTTCTGGATGGAATTGTGGTAACTCACCAGAAATCAATGTATGGGATCATTATGGTAATCTCTATCAAAGTGTAGAAAGATTGGAGTACTTGGGAAGGATTCTCATGGTTCATTCCACTCCACTCTCTTCCTTTTCAAGCTTTTCAGAAGCCTCACATCAAGGCATTTTCCATAGCACTTGAGTCTGTAGGGTAAACAGATTGGATAGAATTGCAGCAAGTCATTTAGGCAATTAACAAATTCCATTCACATTACGACAGCTGAAGAGAACCATAGAAATCTTACAGGGTAATACTCATATTCTGTGTCAGAGACTGGAAGAGGGTTTTTTTGAACTTGTTTAAGCAGCTATTTCCTTTGTTAACACAGAACGAATGATATAGGAGCAAAGTTCCTGGGACTGGATTTTGCAGGAATTAAGTTTGACCATGTGCGAGTGTTTCTGCCTTTTGTTACTGTTTTGATTTTCTGTGAGAGTTACATTTGCATTCCTGAATGTCTTATGTACACAACCAGTTTGTAGTGACTTTCCATGTCCAGCTGCCCTCAGTTCGGAACAATCACCCACCCCAGTGGCTGCTTTGCTGATTTATATCTCCCCCTGTAGAAAATGAAAGGTAGTTAGTTCTCAGTCTTACAGTTGCAGTCAACAAAAACATGTTAAAGGTTTATGCCCAGAGACAGTGATGCAGGCTTCAGGAGTTTTTTTTTCCTCTTTCACATGTGTTTTGTTTTTCTGAAGTATTATTTATAACTAATTTTTTTAAAAATGCTGTTGCTATTTTTGGGGGGGCGGAATATTCTAAGAGTTTTCTCTCCCCCCTCATATGCTTTTTGAGTTGTCTTTTTCTATCTAGAACCTCCAGGTCTCATTGGTTGCAGTAAGTTTTCTTAAATAAACTTTTGCAGACAAGGAGCATGTTGATAGCTCTACCAAGTCTAGATTTGTATGGATTTTAATGATCTGTTTCTTAAAAGATAGTTAAATCAGTCTAACTTCTGTTCTTCCAATGCTTTATGTGCAGATAAGTTTCTCTGTTCAAGTTCCTGTATAGTTTTCATCTATTCTCATCTTCCCCTTCCATCTCCTCCCTTAATTTAGGAGGTCCTAATGGTAGCTTTTTTGGTGTCAGTCACCATACTAGTCAGTTGCTCTGTAAAAGATTTCTTTTTTTTGTTGGGTGGGCAAGGCTTTTGTTTATTTTTAACAGGCAGGAAAAAAGGGATTTGACAATGGCCCTCGCTTCTCTCTCTCTACCTTTAGCCACCAGCACTCTTTAGAAAAATTTAGCTTATTGTGGCCCTCGATTCTCTCTCTCTACCTTTAGCCACCAGCACCAGCACTCTTTAGAAAAATTTAGCTTATTAAGGAAGGTTTTATGTATTTTGGTAAAGAAAAGGTCACGCTGCACATGGAATAATTTTGCTTAGTTTCAGGCCTTTATTGCTTTCTTTGGGGCTGTCACATTATTTTTCTGTCACTATATGAGTAGACCTAAAGCTGATGCTGTGCAGATTTAAAACTAGCTATGTTGTTATGTGACAGGAGAAGTGTCAATGTGAACAACTCTGACTCTGGCGGCTGGATCAGATTTGATGTTTCAGTAGTTCTTAGCTTCAGTTGACATGATTTTATTGTAATTATGTGCTTAACTCTTCCTGGCCTCCTTGAATTACCAAGAACCACAATTGAAAAAGGACAAAAGGAATATTTGATATTTCTAGAACAGTTAGATGCTCTACATTTCTACACAGAAGACTTTATAAGAAGATACACAAAGATCTGAGATATTGTTGTAAATGTCAAAAAATACACTGGAGATTTCAGCCCAGAAGGAAGGGCTGTGATCACTGACCATACCTTGCCTCTGTGTGTGCTGAATTTTAGATACCTAAATATGAATTTTCAGGACTGAATGTCCTAGGCTAGGTATTGTATACCCTTCAGAATTTGAACTGTTGCATGTCAAGCTAAGTGTTTAAAACATCATTAGTTTATCTCAAACACTTAAATTTGCAAGACAAGTTTTAAGAATGGTTTAAAACTTTGTTTATTATATTAAGTATTTGCATATGCTGCAAGCACTGAAATGCCCTTGATTGTGAAGTTATTTTAGTGAAGTTACTTTATGTACATAAAGTGTACTACATCTGAGACAGAGATGCACCAGGGCGTCTGTAAAAGATCTTTGGCAGAAAGGTGAGAGATTGTTTTTTGGTTTTTTTCTACTGCACCTATTGGATGTTTATACTTTGAATTTCATGGCTCGTTGAAGCATGACTGTGTAAAAAGCCACATAGGCTATACTAGAAAAGTAATTATTTTTTTTTGTTGTTGTTGTCTTTGGAATAATTAAAAAAAAAACTTATGTCGGTTTTTTCACCGTAACCTTATGAAAAATGGATAAACTAATGCATCCTTTCTTTTCTTTCTTATTTTGTTGAATGTTTGTTAGTGGAGTTGGGGATGACAGCTTACCTATGTGAGCTCTGAAAATACTTCATATTTTGAATTATTATTGTGATATCCCTAATTGCATCTTATGTGCGTGAAGTAAGGACAGTGATTTTGAAAATGACAATTGCTCTTGGATGCTATCCATTGAATACTTTTCTAAATGCTGTGGCTTTGAGAACTCAGTTACTCGTTGCAGTAGGAATCAGTTTTGTACACCTCGTCTTTTTTTCCCCTAATTCTGGCTATGGGAACCTTTGTTTTCTGGCTCATCTCTGAGCAAAAGTTACGTGCAAACCCACTTCTATAAAGTATCAAATGTATAAACAGACCAACCTAGCTGCCTATTTTTGTCTTCCTTGTCACAAATGGTTGTAGAAAATAATCTGTTTTATTGCTAGCCTGATTTGTTCTGATACAGTTCTGTACCTTTTCCTCTGATCCAAAAGAATGCAGTAGTTGT